GAGTGGAGGGAAAAGAGAGAGAGAGAGGGAGGGAGAGCGAGGGAGAGGGAGACAATATTTTATTTTTAGGAAAACAGTGACTGAATAGTGTTTCTCCCAAACACACATTGGGTAGTTTGATACAGAATATCAAGATGAGTACCATGTCAGTGGATTCTGGAAGAAGGATAGTTGAGGCCAAAAGTTACCATTTTGAAATAGTTTTCTTTTCTTGCTGTGCTTTTCAAACTCAGGATGATGGTACTGTCCAATATTCTGTCACCATTGCGCCAGACAGAAGAAAGATAGTGGCTTTTTTCTATGCATGTGTATGAACGATGGATCAAACAATGTGGGTTTGAGGGTGTTTTCTAGCTAATAATATTTGTTAGAATAAACTGTGGCAAATCTTACACCATTATCCACTATGTCCAAATTGATTCTTGATAGCAGAATTCTCACTCAAACATGTGGAACCTCTACAGCTAATGCAACTTCTCTGCCAACCAGTCCAGTGGTCCTTATTTAAGTGCTTGGACTCTTTTTGTTCTGAATGGAAAGTTATATCACCAAGGAGTATAGATTAATCACTGCCAAATTAGAAGGGCACATCTCTTGCTGCCTTTGTTCAATAGTATGTTTGTGTGTGAAATGTGAAATAGTATTGATCTGGGTGTTTCCAGCCCAAATCAATGGTGAATTTCTGAAAAGCATCAGTAAGTCTATGTCAGTTGACATTTATGCTCCTTGGCAGCTATTCAAACAAAACAAAGGTTGTTCTATTAATAATGACATTATGCAGCTGAAATGGCTCGCTGAAGAGGTCATGATGACATCCGTATCCCTCCCCCAAACTGTTTCATTCTCCCTGATGCTTTCTCAGTCTCTTATTTGCTGCATAGTATATGTAGCGATTTCTTACCAGATGTTTGTTATGTGTCCCATAAACAGAATATATGAAAAAATATCCTATTTTCCCCACTGTAATTACAATTACAATTTCTTTCATAGATGGATGTGGGCATTTATTGATGTTTTCTTGTTTAATTTTTTTTAAAAAATCTTGGATTCAGCTATTGATCATTACAGTAGTAATTTTTGGGAATCTGTTTAGTTCTTATACATCCCTCCTTCATGCTGAACAGTAATGGTATATGTTTGCTTCTCCAACTGCTGTTGAACTCAACAGAGTACACACCATATCTGGACAGTTATATGTTCTTTACCCCTCACATTTTAAAAAAAAACAGCTGCTGGTAAGCATCAGGAAAGAAGATTAGAGTCACCTAACACTTTTGGCTTGAATACTGTGGGTCAACTGAGCATGTCTGAAGTTCATGACCGATTTAAAATTGGGTCAACATACAAATGAGGTGAAGAACATGTGCCCATCCAGATGTTGCTGGATGATGATTCCTGTCAGCCTAGTCCAAGATACACAATGACAAGAGATAAAGGCAGTTATAGTTCAACAACATCTGGATTTTGGATATAGAACAACACTTGGATGAAAGAAGAAAAAATACTGTACAAATAAGAGAAGCAAGGAGAAACTATGAAAGACATTGAGGGAAGAAGTTTCTTATTCTTTTCTTTAAAAAAATTCAGTGTGGTGAATAAAATAAGTAATATCCATCACATCCTACAGAGCTGTAGCTTAGGGCAATAAATGGACATTCCCTTAAAATAAGGGACATCTGGCAACCCTAACAAGGAGAGAGCATCCCCCAATGGGTCATCTTACATCCTTTACTACTGCCAAGCTGAGAGCTGAAGCAATTCCCCAGCATCCTCCTCTGTTCTAGGTCAGAGAGATTTATATAACCCTAGCTCTGACATGATTAGTCTCAGCTGGGTGAGTGCCTGCAAAATTGAATTAACCCCACATGAACCAAACAGAAGAGCATACCTTTCAGCAGTCCACCCTTCAGCTGCAGAGAGGTTCTTTTCCAAGAGCTAATTATACCAGTGGCTGATTTTTTTTTTGAGACGTTTTCACAAATTACAGTCAAAATGTGTCTGTGTGTCCCATGAGAATCTTTTAAATATAATAGCTGCAAAACAGTAAATGAAAGGGGTGGGAATTTAAACTAAATTTACAGTACATTTTGACCAGTGTGTTTTTTTCAGTTTACAGGTCTAGGAAATCCAAACACTGCATTATTTCTAAGAAAAGGACTCAGAAGAGCAACAAAACTGAACTCAGTGGGCTAAACAGTGAACTTGTTTAAAGCATAGTTTTTATTAGGTTATTTTTGAAATTTAATAAAAATATTATAAAAAAAGAACTGAACTCATGATGGCTGGAATCTTGTTGCACCACTTATGCTGTGTAAGGCTGATGATGTCATCAGCCACAGTGATTTTTGAGCAATTAAATATTTCCAATTGCCCTCAGGGTCCCAAGGCTCCTTTCCATCACCAGGAATTTGTTGGTGCCGTGGTACGGAAAGACAACTCTAATTTCTGAAACGAGCCCTTTGATAGCAAAATTGCCCCAGCAGGGGCAATCTTTAGAAATTAAAGACTCACTGCATCAAGTGTTCCTCCTGCTGGTTCTCCACAAGGAAGAGGATACCAAGAAGGCCCTGGGATCTTTGGGGAGGAAAGGAAAAATCACTGTAGGTGGTGACATTATCAGCCTTACATGGCATAAGTTAAAGCAACAGGATGTCAGCCATTGTAGAACTTTCACATTCTCTTCAGACTTGGCATTTGCCATGTATCCATATATGCTGTCTGCGATGAAAAACACCCCTTCAACCATTCATATCATTATGTCCTTCGTCTTTGGACATTTCTCTGTTCTGCTCGGTAGAAGTCAAGGACAAGGAAGCCAAAGGTTTAACATACCAGAGATTCTGTTTATCACAAAATATATAAGATTCCAGAATGCATGGAACCATTTTCATGTAGGCGTGCATGTGCATAGGCTTTAGAGATCAGAACTTTATTACCGTTAATGTTTTTAATAAGGATTTTCTAAAATTTGTAGATTTCTTCATAGTGAGTATGAAATAAACTGAAAGCAAACAGATCCAAATGTATGAAAATCCAAAGCAGATAAATTTATCCCTTTCAGGCCCAGGCTTTGAATTCTTCATTCTTTGAAGTATATTTTGAATACCTGAGTAGACAACCTGCTGCTGTGTAAGATTTCTACTTTGTTTGCTTTGCTTTGCTTTTTCTGAGATGCTCCTCATCTTTGATGTACACATGGCAGGCAGGTACCTCATGATCCTGTACAAGCTGAAAATAGCTCTGCTTACTAAATTTGGCTAGTATCTATCAGTGAAAGTTTAATTTCATTTTATTTTTGAAATATTCACCAATCATATTTTCAAGACAGAAAGAACCCAAGGCTTTAAAAAACTGAAACCAAGAGAATGCTTAAGCCGCTGCTGAGCTAAGGCTTTGGTGGCACAGCTCACCTTTGCCCCCCTCCCTGGATAATGTGAGACCTTTTGGTCTCACAAGAGCAATCGGGCAAGAGGGGAGAACGTTAGGTTAGTTAAGGGACGTTCTCCCCCCTCTCTCCATCCTCTTCCTTTTCTGGCAACGGTGAAGGACATAGCTTCGCTGCTCGATTCTATTTTGGCTGCATCACTGATTGAGGGCTGTGGAAAACTGCATTCAGAGGTTGGGAGGGTAGTACAAGGGATTACTTACATCTCGGTTAGGCTGCTGTCGGCGGTGGGTGGTGCAGATTGGCTGAGCGCCAGCCACTTGGGTGAGCGTGGTGTGCCACTCGGCTCTCAGGCCATGAGCGCTCAGATTTCTTCCTCCTCCCCTTCACTTCTTAATGGTCAGTGCAACCTAAATTTGGTTATAGGAAGATTGGTCTAAATTTTCTTGAAATCATGGGTGATGAGTGAAGTGCCTGATGACTGGATGAGGGCTAATGTTGTCTCCATCTTCAAAAGGGGCAAAAGGGAGGAACCAAACAAGGACCAGTTCTGGATGCTGCACTTTAAGAAGTACACTGACTAACTGGAACAAGTTCAAAGGAGGGCAACAAGGATAATCAAGGAACTGGAAACAGCCCTGTGAAGAAAGAGTGGAAGAACTGGGCATGTTTAGCCTCAAGAAATGAAGACTGAGGGGAGATAAGATAGCATTTTTCAAATACTGTATATGAAAGACAGTCATAGAGAGAAGGGGCAGGATCTGTTCTCAATAATCTCAGAGTGTAAGACAGTGAATAATGGACTCAAGTTACAGGAAGTCAGATTTCTGTTGAATATCAGGAAAACCTTCCTAGCCGTTAGGGCAATTCAACAATGGAACCAATCACCTCAAGAGGTGCTAACACTCCAACACTGGAGGTGCCTTGATTCCAATTCTTGCATGAGCAGGGGGTTGAACTTGATGGTTTCATTGGCCTTTTCCGGCTCCATTATTCTATGAGGTCAGATATGCATATGTAAACACTGTCCCACATCTCATTCCCTACTGGAAGGCATGTGAGCCTTTGTGTGTGTGGTGTGTGAAAGCCTGCACAGACTTTTGTAAGTGCAGTGAGCTACAGTGTCTATGCAGACCCGTGGAAACATCAGGTAGAGAAGGTGTCAGAAAATGAGGAAGTCAAGATCTTGTGGGATTTCCAGATCCAAACTGATAGACACCTTAAACATAACACACCAGATATAATAGTAATAGAACTAAGAAATGTCTGGATCATTGACACTACAATTCCAGAGGATTCCAGAGTTGAAAATAAAGAATTTGAAAAACTAATGAAGCCCAGAGACCTAGCAATCAAAACATCTCACCTCTGGAAGAAACACACTTTAGTGGTCCCTGTAGTCATTGGGGCAATGGAGGTAGGCAATGGAGAAAAAAAAAAGAAGACCAGACCTGAGGTAGATTAATTTTGGAAAAACTACAGTAATGAAGCACAGAGACCTAGCAATCAAAACATCTCACCTCTGGAAGAAACACACTTTAGTGGTCCCTGTATTCATTGGGGCAATGGAGGTAGGCAATGGAAAAAAAAGAAGACCAGACCTGAGGTAGATAATGGAGGTAGGCAATGGAGAAAAAAAAAAGAAGACCAGACCTGAGGTAGATTAATTCAGTAAAAGAACTCATGGCCTTGCACTTAGAAGTACTGAGCAGGGCTGTTAATGATAGGAACTTTGGAGGTCATTCATTCATAGGGTTGCTATAAACTGGAAGTAATTGACAGCACATAACAACAAACATTCCTTCCAATGAAATCATATTTACCAACAAATATACTGTAACAGTTCCATGTGTACATCTGTATATCTATTCTATTTTACACTCAGAGACAAGTTAGTGGTTGACTGGCTGATATACCTCAGCTGTAGCACCCAAGCATTTAAAACTAAATCTTACACCATTCTGGAATCTTCTGGACGAAGAGTGGCAAAGAATTACTTTAAATAAGTAAATCAATTCAGCTCCCTCAACAGCTATTTATTTCTGATACTATGCTGACTTTCTAAAAGCAGGAATTCAACAGTGCAGCTGGGATTTAATCAGCCTTCTCACATAAATCTCTTGGTCTTATTTCTGTACTAAAAGTTTTGTTTAAAAGAATTGAAAAAGAAACTGGAGGAGATTATCACAAAGGGTCTGAAAGCTGTAGCAGAAGTATCTCTCCTGTGGCACCCCCACCATATTCTGAATAGGCCAGAGTTTAGTTTAGGTCAAAAGAAAACTGCTGATCTGGAAATAATGGTACATTCCGGAAAGGTCCAGCTGTCACACCTCACCTCACAGCTGCTCTCCATCATTGCAGAAAGGAAACAACAGAAAATAAAAGCAGCAAAAGTAGGACGGTGATGATTACTGCAACAGTTCTTGGTACTGTATCATCATGGCATTTACCATTAGTAATGTTCTGCATCAAAGTAATTAGTGTTTAAAATATTGTGCTGCTTTGGAAGGACATGGGTAAACCAAGAACCTCATTCATGTTCATAAAAGCATGAGAAAGTGGATAGTGCATGCCAGCAGGATTATGCCATATGTCCATGGACCCTACCAAAGCATACATAGTTTCCTGCACCCTTGATAATGGAGAGCCCTAAATCAATTTAACAGAAGCTTGCACACACTTGGGTGAGTGCACTTAGACTTTGGGCTAGTGGCAGAACGGGTAGACACAGCAGCAGCTAGAAGAAAACAGATTAGTATTCGAGCCAGTGTCTTCTGTCTAGGCTTTCAGAACGTAAGCTGAGCAAGTTTAACTTCTGACGGCTAATTGCAAAACAAAGGAAGTTAATTTGCAAGCTTGGTTAGATTAGAAAAGTTTGTGGTATTATGATCAGATGCCTTTTACAATTTAAGGAATTGCTGCTTCTTACAGCAATGTCTCTGTTAATATCCAGTCCAGCACTCAGAATTCGACATCCATTCTTGTTTCTCAGTGAACCAATCTGGTATTCATCAACGGGTAAAGTTGATGTCTGGATATGTCTTTCTCTCTACCTCCCCCCAGCCCTGCATCTGGAACCAATTCTTCCCCTATCTCTCTTCCTTTTCCCTACCCATCCTTTAATGAACTGCAGTTCTTCAATTAATACACACCCATTAATTTCACAGGTTGCGACTATGCTCCAGTTCTAAATCAATTGCCCTTCATTTAATCCCCCATTCATTATTACTTTTCTTGGAGGATAATCAACCTTTAAATAAATGAATTCTTCTGCAATTAGGTGTTTCCTGAAATCCATTACCTTTACAGATTTTAAGGTGGGGTCCACTCTATGTTTTTGAGATGGAGGAGGAAGGCACTTTTTGTGCTCTTTCTATATCTTATATATCCTTCCTTCCTTCCTTCCTTCCTTCCTTCCTTCCTTCCTTCCTTCCTTCCTTCCTTCCTTCCTTCCTTCCTTCTGACTTGACGCTATCCTAAGACACCTGTTCAGTCTCAATCTTTATGATGGCTGAATAAACAGGTGATGTCCCTATGAATAAAGAATACAGTGCAAATGAAAAAGTGCAGAACGTGTCTCCTATTTCTCAAACAAACAAGCGTTTTGCTGTTGCCTTTTCAGTACAGATGGACAATGGGAGTGAACACTGCTTATTTCATGCCCAGATGCATGCTAAGGCTCAGGTTACAAGAACATCAAGTCCCTATGAATATGGCACAATAAGAGGTTCCAGGTAAACAGATCATGGTTACCTTTGATTGAAGGAGCACTTGTATACTTCCTTACAGATCTCTCACTTGTTCGCTTCTCTCCCTTATTGTCCATTTTTAACCGGGTTACATTATTTCTCCAAGGACACACACACCAGAATATCCCAGCCAATGTGTTCAGTGGCTTTTCAGGTCCCCTCAGTTGTCTTTCAGCTTATTTGCCTTGTGACCCTTGGTGTCTGGATATGTCCCCCTGCTCGGTCCCACATCTGGAAGCAATTCGTCCCCTATTTCTTTTCATATATATGAAACATTATTTTTGCCTTTCTCTTCAAGCTAGCAGAAAATGTGGCTGGGATCAAACAGATATTTGTCCTGCTGTTTAGTCTGCTGCAGGAATTGATTAGTTTGCTCCTTTTTCAGGTGATCAGACAGTGTAACTGTACTGGGAAACACTGTACGTATATGTGTGTTAGTTATCATAACAGTAAAGTTTAAACCCAATTATTGCAGTTTTTTGTGACTTACATTTACCCTTTCAATAACATTTACACTGAACAGTGCCATCACAATATTTGGACAACAGAATTATTATTTTTATTTGTGTTTTCTCTTAACCATATTAGTGCACTTGTTATGACCTTAAAACTGATCATAAATTGGTAGATATAAATATCAGAGTGACTGTAAACAGATAAATGTCCTCCTTGGAAAAATAACCAAATATTTTGTTTTGTTTAGAGACCTACAAGTTTTATTGGCATCTGATTATGCAGACTGATTTCTGATTGTGGCCTAGTGCTCCGTGGAAGTTTATGCCAAACACAACTCATTCATCCTTAAGGTGCTATAAGATCCTTCATTGTTTTTCCCCCTATAAAAAAATAAAAAAAAAATATGATGGAAACCTCATGGGAAAAAGTGGAGGAAAAGTGGCCCAGCTTCTTGGAGAGAGTCATTGCTGGGGCATGAGAAAGAAAAATGAGCTGGTATTCATCAGTGGACTATGCAGAGCAAAGGACAGGAGCTTTGAATCCCCACTATGCCTCCTGGAAGATGGGCTAACTATGATTACAAGTGCATGTGGCTGGTAGTGTTCCATGCCCTGCCACCTTCCCAGCCCTGGGCCTATTCTATGGTCCCCAAGTGCCACTAGAAGGCAGTCTTGACAAATCCACTTCATGTACATTCTTCCTAGAGAAGCTTGGGAGGGTTGTCGTAAGTTGGAATTGACTTGAGAACATATAATTATAACATAGAAAGGATTGGCAGGATTGGGATGGGAGATACAGTACCTCCTTTTAAAGCTCTAAGTACAACCCACTAATGCAGTGGGGTTTTTAACCTGTAAATTTGTCTTTTCCCTTTGGTCCTGAGGCTTTGGGAGTACCGGGGACTATAAATGTAAATAAGAAATAAATCCCCAACTTTGCTGCATTCCATTTGTTCCAGGAATATGTACATATCTGTCTTTCTGTCTAACTGAAAAAGGAAGTCTCAGAGTTCGGAGACTTAACTTCTCTCACTCACAGCATGCCAAAAAACAAATCCGGGAGGACTGAGCAGGTGCCACCTCTGAAATGCAGCAGGATTAGGTTTTACTTGTAGTTTAACAAGCATCCAGATATATTATCCCCTGAAACATTTCAATGTCAAGCTCTTAAAGATTTATCTAGCTTAAACAAACCATAGGGCGTTGCTAAGGGAGAGACGATAACAGGAGTGTTGTAACATTTCCGATGAAGGCATTGTTGACATGTCGGGTTTTTCTCTTGCTCTCTGAGCTTGTTGGGTTTATACTGATGGCATTTGACGTGATTTCCTTTCATATGTTGCAATGGAGCTTATTCATTCTTTCCAAACAAACTGTACAGATACCTGTCAAACACACCATAAAAAGAAAAGCTTGGGAGTGAGAGCATTCTGCATTTGTGCAAGGTCAAAAATAGAAACTGAACATTTGGTTCCATATGTCCAAGGCAACTCGTAGTAGTAGTAGTAGTAGTAGTAGTAAGACATAGTAATTAAAATGAAAGAGAGAACATATATTTTGTGGAACTCTTTGGAATTTGCCTCCCCTCAAATGGCCTGTTGCTAATAAAAATGTGTACGTGTACATGCATGGGGAGATCTTCCGATTCCCAGTGTGGTGTGGTGGATTGAGTAATGGACTAGGACTCTGGAGAACAGCATTCAAGTCCCCACTTGGCAATGGAAACTCGCTGGGGGAGTGGAATTAGTAAAGCCATGGCTTAAATATGTCACTTACCTTGAAAGCCCTGTTAGGGTCGCTATAAGGCAGTTCTGACTTTACAGCACAGAAAACATACACAATAAAAATGTGTACTGTATTTAGCTCATTTAATAATAGAGCTTGCATTGGGGTGTCTTTGCCAAGATTATTCATTGTACACTCTGTCTTTTCTAGCATATTTACATCCACAAAGGCCATGACTTAAAAAGAAATGGTGTTTTCTTTCTAGCCCTATATGCAGTGTGAACATTGTGCATAGATCTAAGCCAACAGTACATTTCCTAATCTATGAAGCAAAACTGAACTTTCTCCAGGCCATCAGTGTCTTATTTATTGCCTGTCCCCAAAGACTGGGATTTAGAATTTGGAAAGCTCACAAGAACAAAATGTTTTTCTCTGTGACTAATGCAATGCTGAAGTGCTGGGTTCTAAATGGAACCCAGATCTGTTGGGAGAAACCAGATCAAGGTATTAAGAAGGTAACACTGGATAGGAAAGCCTTTTATCCCTGTCAAAATAGGGATATGCTCATCTTCTCATAGACAATTTCCAGTAAGCATTCAGAGGTATTCAAAACTTATGATTTTGTGCATCAAAGTCTCACTTAGGGTTTTTGAATCTCTCTCTCTCTCCCTGTGTGCTCGTGTGCACATGTATGTGCAAATGTATGGGGAGATCTGCAGATAAAGGAGATATACTGTAATGCCAGAAAGAACGGCTACTACTCAGTCTAAACCTTGGATGATTACTGTTAGCAGTTGACACACAAATATAAATCCATCCTTATTGGAGGATGCTGGTGGTCCTTTTCAACACGAAGCTTCTGAAACTGGGAAGTGCTAGAAACAAGAAGGAAGGAAGTCAAGTTGGTGAGAAGGTTGATGTATTCCATTCCTTTCTCAAGAAGAAGGCAAGGTCTGGATCTGATTTAATTTCACTTCTCTCACACTTCATTCTGTCTCCACCCCTTTTTAATGGTTCTTCTGCTAGCAGTTCTTAACTACAACACATCTGCCAGCAGCTTGTTCATTCAGTAGACCAGAGATCATCAGGTAGCAGAGTGTTCTGTTGCAAATTGTACCTAATCCCAATCTTCTACAGCAATCATATTTTTGCACTGCCCATTTTAAATCTGTCACCCTGCATAGTAGCAGTAGCAATAGCAGTTTCTTCATCTGAAGGAAAGGTCAGGTAATTATATCCTGCATTTTTGCTTATGAAGCACTCATGGTTACATGTGCCTTGGTTAAGATGCAGTAATCAAAAATCCATCAAAATACAAAGGAAAACCTCCAGCAAGGATGGAAACCAACATATTATGCCTTAACAAATACCCAAGCCAGCAGATCAATACATAAAAATGTCAAATTCAGCAAATATGGTCAGCTGTCTGCAGGTGAAAAGCTGCTGAAAGCAGAACAGTATTTTTGACCTAGCTTGGAATGGCATCAGGGAAGAAGCCAACCATATCTCCCAGAGCCTAGTTTTCCACAGTCTAGCAGAGCAACAGAGAAAGCTTATTGCATGATCCTGCCAATGAACTTGATCAATTGGCATGGTTATGCAACTTGAGATAATTTCAGAGACAACAGGCAGATTCAGTGGATTAAAGTTAGTGCCACGGGTATTCTGATCATAAATCATTTAGGCAATGGTCGATTTTAAGCATGGGTCCTCATCCTGACAATTCTTATTGCTGCACCTCCAAGGTGAAGGAGAGAAAATAGACATTGATTTGTGCTGATCCATATCAACAAACTAGCTCTAGCAATTTTCTTCTCCAACAGAGGGAAGTATTTTGAAAAGCAAATGAGTCTTCCTTATTCACGCAAGGCCAAACCACCCAAATTACTTTGCATTATGAATGGGGAAAGGTACAAAAATATATATTGGAAAATTCATTATAGTTTTGTTATTATCCCTACTAATCAATGTGTCCCAGTGTTTTAATCCTCAGTACACCACAGCTTCAGGACTTTAAAGGTAAGAATTAACCTTTAATATTTCACATTAGAATTTTGCATTCAATCTGGATGTTAATCCAGGAAAACCAGAAGACAATAGAACAACAGATACATTTTCTCAAAATGCAGGCTCTGATTATGAAGCCTTGCAACTGTATTCTGTAGCATCTGAAGAAATATGGCCTCCATATAGAGTACACCACAGTAATCTAATCATGATTCAACTAAGACGTGCATGATCAATGAATTACTGGGAAAATTAGAGTACTTGGGAATGGCAGAGATTAATTTCTCATTGACTTCAGTAAGCATTCATTTCTTGTTTACCCATTATATTTATTTTGGTCATTTTCGATAACAATGTATTGATGACATGTCTATGCATGACACTAAAGATCTTTGACTGTCATAAATCTGTAAGAAACAGTTCACTGTAAAGGTTAACTCTGTGTTATGGTTATTTCACTGGAGTTTGCTTTCCAGTCATCTGTGGCATCTGACACTCTTAATAACATAGGATCTGGGGCTTCCTGCTGCTTCAGATGTTAGTGTCACTGGTCCCAGTGAAAATGCTAGTATAGGAAGTACTTGCAAGGTTCAGAGCCACATAATGGCAAAAGCTCAGATAGAAGATGGGAAAACCCTTGACTAGTTATCATCTGAACAGACAATAGTAGACCAGCTGGAAAAATAATCAGACTGGGTATGAGATTGTAGGGGGTTGTGCTTACAAATATGTAGTTATCATCTGAGTAGACCACCTGGAAAAATAATCAGACTGGGTACGAGATTGTAGGGGGTTGTGCTTACAAATATAACTTGGAAGGAAGTCTCTTTTTATATTCTGCTGTGCATGTGGTAGCCTTTCCAGACTGCACATGAGAAGGCCAGAGGATTGTCAGGTCTCCCTGGGTTTTCAGGGCCACACCAAAGGAGGGGCCCTTCAACAACAGTAATATCTGTATGGCAGACAGCATGGATTTTTTGTACTACCTTCTAAACATTTAGTATGTGTACATCTTACCAGTTGCAAGTGGGAAGAAGGTAGATGCTTGGACAGTGAAACCACCCCACACAATAACTATCCAATGTTCAACCCTGGAAGAATTGCAAGATTATGCTTTACTCACAGGTCAAGGGCGTTTCAATCTATTTGCATAAACCATTGGATTATCTTCTGAATTGACCGGAACAGAAAAGTTTCTGAATAAGGCAAGGATTGAAACTGGATAAGACACAACTCTTACTCTTGTGTGGACTTGTTTCTTGCCCATTTCTTTCCAGCCCAAATCTCAATGATTTGTGTCTCCTACTTCATGTTCAGCTCAATGTTGCCTAATGGTAATCTGATGCCAGTTTCTTTTGAACAAGGGCTTTCAAGGTAAGTGAGATATTTAAGGAGTGGCTTTACCAGTTCCACTCCCCCAGTGAGTTCCCATGGCTGAGTGGAAATTTAAACTGAGTCCTATTGAGTCCTAGTCCATCTCTTTGTCTACTACACCACACTGGGTATTGGGTTAATGGGAGACATTTGCAGTTGGTTCAGGGATCCTGTGAATAGAGGAAAGAAGGGGATATGTGCATGAGCCATAGTCTCATTTGCGTTTTTGAAAGACAGTCAGTGTTTTCTGCAATGATTGAGTAAAGAATGTTCAAGGAAGATGGGTGTTCTCTTTACTTGTTTTACATATTTTAAGGAACTTCACGGTACAAAATGCTCAGGCTATAGCAGCTGTGTTTCATACTAGGGAACTCTACATCTGAGTGACACTAGGGCCAAAACTAGACAATACCATTGGCACATCATTAGAAGCAACCACCCCTGAAATGATAAAAAGCATCTGCTTATCTTGGTATGAGATTGCCCCAATTTGAGTTTTACAAATGAGCTTTTTTGTTTTGTTTTATGAGTGGTCATCTAGAGCTAAACATAGTCTTCATTTGCAAATCCAATTGTGCTTTGAAGGAACTGCATATCTGGAGTATAAAACTGATGAAAAGCATCTGGATTAAATGGATGAAAAACAGTTTGAAAAATTACTATATCCCGATAACAGGAAATAAGCACTTCCCTTAGCATGTCATTCGACCTTAGGATGCTTACAGTTAAGGAATCATTATTTTTAACAAAGGAAAATGGCATTAATTGAGACACTCTGTACTGAAAATCTGCAATTATTCAATAGCAGTAGTGTCTACTCAGAAATAAGCCACACTGACTTCACTGGGACTTACTATTTGGCAAGACTGTACAGGATTGATGCCTAAATAAGCTTTGCTCATCTGTTTTTCTCTCTGCAAAAACTAAAACTAGCTGAAAAGTTACCGTAGTCTTGATTCACTTCTATTAAGCAGTGAAGTTTTGGCTGTAACATGAATACATCCATATGCTGTTTCCCCTTTTCCCATCTGGAATTCTAGCAAAGCATGCTGAGATGTTACCATGGCTGTGTAATAGCAACCAATTGTATTTCACTGTCTTTGTGCCATCTGATCTGTTTTGAGTTTGGAAGACTTGCTGGAAGAAGTGATAGCTTGCTGGCTTGTGAGTCATATTTATTAAATACAAAATGTTTTCACAGAACCCATTTCAGAATCACAATAAAGCAAGGGAAACTAAGTAGCTGATCATGTCCTAAAATAGGGTGCACAGCCACGTAGGATGTGTGTGGGAAAGCAGAACCACGTGTTCCCCTTTTTCCATCTGTTTGTCAATATAAGTATGTTTGAGGGAACTTGGTGTGGTGGAGAGAGTCAGTGAGGTGTATTGGACAGAGTTTCTGACTAGGACTCAGAAAATTCGGGTTCAAATCCCCACTCAGCTATGGAAACTCATGAGGGCAGGGGTTTGCAATGGTAAACCATTGGGTGAATATTTCACATACCTTGGAAACCTTGTTTGTTCCACCACATGACTTTGCGGCACAAAACAGCAACATGTTTGTGGAGCTAGAGTCTTGCAAGCAGCAAATTTGGTGCTTGTTTCATAAGTGTACTATGTCTGTCTCTGCGGCAGATGGGCGAGGTCACCATCTAGCTTCAGGATTTTGTTGCCAGAGCTTGGGAGCATTACTCTTTTAGACTACAACTCCCAGAATTCCCCAAGCCAGCAGACCCTCTGAGAGCTGTAGTCCAAAGAAGTATTGAGTCTAAGCTGTAATAGCTTCACACATTGTTGGCCCTCGTTTGCATTGGAACACCTCATGACTGAGATAAAAGGCACTACAGAGGTTAAAATAGTTGTCAGCAAAAGAAAGGAACAGAAGGGTTTTAGGGGGGAAAGGTCACAGTTTACTTCCTCTGCATGTTCACAGTTGCAACCCAAACTCACTACTTGAGCCACTACAGTGGAAGTTTGTTTATAAGTTATGGCTGTGTAGCTATTAAATACCTATACCTGGATACTGGAGCTTGAAGATCAACCATTTTTGTAAACTGTCATGGTCTGTCTTGGCACAAAGTAGTTTTTATAGACACATGTTTTGCACAAGACTGCCTTCCCCATGACCTACCAGGGAAAAGTTCATATCTCATTGGAAGTACTTCCTGTGGATTAGTTGATATTTTGTTTGGAGAGAGAGGTAGAATAGAGAAATGACCTTTCTTCAGTGGTTACTCTACTTTACTTTCTTGGTGTAGGTTAAAGAGAATGAGAGGTGGCCACTTTTGGGACAAGGTTGTGGTAAACAGAAGAGTTAATGTTCTGAGAGAAGTAATTCACACAGAGAAAAACTGTTGCCCTTTTTGGCACGTCACAAATCCATTGTCTAATGTTTACTAGAGGTGTCGGGCAGCTGCAGTGAGACCCCTGCCCCTCCTTCAACGTGCCTCAGCCTGTATGATGCTCTAATTAATTTTGTTTTATTTTATTTCAAAACTAAGCTCTCCAAGTTCAAGCTGGTGCCAAAGGCAAGTTCAGATATACAGCCAAGGAAGATAGAAAGGAACTGGCACTTAAAAGTGATGTTCTCCAGAAGGCACGAAGTATGAAAAGTTATTGCTCTTGCTCTGAAATATTCAGTTATGTATGCCTTCAGCTCATTGCTCAATCTGCACTTCCCTGTTTCTCCTTTCCCTGATGCCTAAAGGGAAATAAAATTGATGAAATTACTTCCGAGAGGTGTTTGCCTGTTTCGTGCTAGTTGGTGCATGTTGCTATATCTCTGCTCTCCCTTTCTTGCTCACATTTATCAACTCAGTGTCAAACTCACACAGCTTATCCAATGAAAGGAATGTCCTTCCTTCCTTCCTTCCT